TCCAAGGGGAACCCCTAGGATTTTGGAAAAAATCGGCACAAAATTTTTTTGCAGGGTTTTTGGGAATCTTTGGATGCAGATCGACGGCGAAAGGATCCCTGATTCCTAAATGGCATCCCTTTTTAGGATCCTCTGCGAAATAGCCAAGATATTTGCCAAAAACTGAGGATAAACCGAATTCGCACTTTTCCAAGGGGAACCCCTAGGATTTTTGGAAAAAATCGGGCCAAAATTTTTTTTTGAGGATTTTAGGAATTCTTGGATGCAGATCGACGGCGAAAGGATCCCTGATTCCTAAATGGCATCCCTTTTTAGGATCCTCTGCGAAATAGCCAAGATATTTGCCAAAAACTGAGGAAAAACCGAATTCGCACTTTTCCAAGGGGAACCCCTAGGATTTTGGAAAAAATCGGGCCAAAATTTTTTTGCAGGGTTTTTGGGAATCCTTGGATGCAGATCGACGGCGAAAGGATCCCTGATTCCTAAATGGCATCCCTTTTTAGGATCCTCTGCGAAATAGCCAAGATATTCGCCAAAAACTGAGGAAAAACCGAATTCGCACTTTTCCAAGGGAACCCCTAGGATTTTGGAAAAAATCGGGCCAAAATTTTTTTTTGAGGATTTTAGGAATCCTTTGATGCAGATCGACGGCGAAAGGATCCCTGATTCCTAAATGGCATCCCTTTTTAGGATCCGGTGCGAAATAGCCAAGATATTCGCCAAAAACTGAGGATAAACCGAATTCGCACTTTTCCAAGGGGAACCCCTAGGATTTTTGGAAAAAATCGGGCCAAAATTTTTTTTTGAGGATTTTAGGAATCCTTTGATGCAGATCGACGGCGAAAGGATCCCTGATTCCTAAATGGCATCCCTTTTTACGATCCGGTGCGAAATAGCCAAGATATTCGCCAAAAACTGAGGAAAAACCGAATTCGCACTTTTCCAAGGGGAACCCCTAGGATTTTTGGAAAAAATCGGGCCAAAATTTTTTTTGGAGGATTTTAGGAATTCTTGGATGCAGATCGACGGCGAAAGGATCCCTGATTCCTAAATGGCATCCCTTTTTAGGATCCGGTGCGAAATAGCCAAGATATTCGCCAAAAACTGAGGAAAAACCGAATTCGCACTTTTCCAAGGGGAACCCCTAGGATTTTTGGAAAAAATCGGGCCAAAATTTTTTTTGCAGGGTTTTTGGGAATCCTTGGATGCAGATCGACGGCGAAAGGATCCCTGATTCCTAAATGGCATCCCTTTTTAGGATCCTCTGCGAAATAGCCAAGATATTCGCCAAAAACTGAGGAAAAACCGAATTCGCACTTTTCCAAGGGGAACCCCTAGGATTTTTGGAAAAAATCGGGGCAAAATTTTTTTTTGAGGATTTTAGGAATTCTTGGATGCAGATCGACGGCGAAAGGATCCCTGATTCCTAAATGGCATCCCTTTTTAGGATCCTCTGCGAAATATCCAAGATATTCGCCAAAAACTGAGGAAAAACCGAATTCGCACTTTTCCAAGGGGAACCCCTAGGATTTTTGGAAAAAATCGGGCAAAATTTTTTTTTTGAGGATTTTAGGAATTCTTGGATGCAGATCGACGGCGAAAGGATCCCTGATTCCTAAATGGCATCCCTTTTTACGATCCGGTGCGAAATAGCCAAGATATTCGCCAAAAACTGAGGAAAAACCGAATTCGCACTTTTCCAAGGGGAACCCCTAGGATTTTTGGAAAAAATCGGGCCAACATTTTTTTTGGAGGATTTTAGGAATTCTTGGATGCAGATCGACGGCGAAAGGATCCCTGATTCCTAAATGGCATCCCTTTTTAGGATCCGGTGCGAAATAGCCAAGATATTCGCCAAAAACTGAGGAAAAACCGAATTCGCACTTTTCCAATGGGAACCCCTAGGATTTTTGGCAAAAATCGGGGAAAAATTTTTTTTTGAGGATTTTAGGAATTCTTGGATGCAGATCGACGGCGAAAGGATCCCTGATTCCTAAATGGCATCCCTTTTTAGGATCCTCTGCGAAATAGCCAAGATATTCGCCAAAAACTGAGGAAAAACCGAATTCGCACTTTTCCAAGGGGAACCCCTAGGATTTTTGGAAAAAATCGGGCAAAAATTTTTTTTTGAGGATTTTAGGAATTCTTGGATGCAGATCGACGGCGAAAGGATCCCTGATTCCTAAATGGCATCCCTTTTTAGGATCCTCTGCGAAATAGCCAAGATATTCGCCAAAAACTGAAGAAAAACCGAATTCGCACTTTTCCAAGGGGAACCCCTAGGATTTTTGGCAAAAATCGGGCAAAATTTTTTTGAGGATTTTAGGAATTCTTGGATGCAGATCGACGGCGAAAGGATCCCTGATTCCTAAATGGCATCCCGTTTTTCGATCCGGTGCGAAATAGCCAAGATATTCGCCAAAAACTGAGGAAAAACCGAATTCGCACTTTTCCAAGGGGAGCCCCTAGGATTTTGGAAAAAATCGGGCCAAAATTTTTTTTGGAGGATTTTAGGAATTCTTGGATGCAGATCGACGGCGAAAGGATCCCTGATTCCTAAATGGCATCCCGTTTTTCGATCCGGTGCGAAATAGCCAAGATATTCGCCAAAAACTGAGGAAAAACCGAATTCGCACTTTTCCAAGGGGAGCCCCTAGGATTTTTCGAAAGGATATTTAGATCGAAGGATATTTATGTCCTGATTGCAAAATGGTATCGCTTTTAAAAATCCGTTCAGAAATGACCAAGATATGAGCTTTGGAAAATCCGCCTTAGCGCCCATGACTCGGCGCCAATTGTTTGAAATTCGTATGGAACGAAATCTGAAGTACCAGGCGAACAGAAATCAGCAGAAAGTGGCCGAAGTCAAGCAGTGCAAGCAGTTTCACCTCCCCCTCGCCCTAGCTTCGCCAGAAAAATTACACAATTGTCCCTTCACCGGCCACATGGACTTCACATTCCCATGCAAGTTTCCCATGTCAGACTTAATTGTTAGGACTATAAATAGTTGCCCCACCGTCTTCTTATTATGTTTCCTGCATTTTGTATACGTTTTACTTCACTTAATGATGTTTTTATAATCCTAAATTAACAGTTTTGTTACTTAATTAAAATAAATATTAAATATATACAGGTAGAGACATGTGAAGGGTTAACTTTCGTATTTTGCAAAGAAACGGTACTATTGCCATGATAGCCAATCCCAGCCTCCCAATTTGGGATCCACAACGGTGATTTGCACCTAATGATGGCAAAACCAAAGTGGCACCCGTTGATTTTCTGCGCGTGTCACGAAATGGGGCTCTCGTGAGCGAAAATGTATGGGGACGGCATGTCGTGCTCAGCTCGCGTGCCAAGTGCCGTTCTAAATCACTCCCGCTCTCCCATCACTGTTGCAGCCATATCTGTCTACCTATCCCCCTCTAATAATGATGGGTAGCAGCATCCCATTCCCCCCCATGGAGTATGATGCTGCGATCCCAATTCCATAAGGGTCAATGGGGGGGTAGAGTGCCACCACAAAGGGGGGGTTTCTCCCTTTCCCACACATGGCTAGCTCAGAAAAATTGATCTGAACTGCTTGCACTGCTTGAAATTGGCCACCTTCTGCTGATTTCTGTTCGCCTGGTACTTCATATTTGCTCCCATACGAATTTCGAGAAATTTTTGCCGCGAGGTGGCCGCCAAGACGGATCTTTCCGAGCTCATAACTTGGTCATTTCTGAATGGATTTTTAAAAGCGATACCATTTTGCAATCAGGACATGAATATCCTTCGATCTGCATCAAAATATTTTAAAAATCGAACAAAAAAATTTGGGCCGATTTTCGCAAAAAATCATGATGTTACCCCTGTCAAAAATTGCGAAAATCGAGTCGAATTTTTTTGATCGATTTTGCGAATCTTTTGATGCAGATCGAAGGATATTGATGTCCTGATTTAGAAATGCTATCCTGTTCCTTGATCGGTTTAGAAATGGCCGAGATATACGCTATATACAAAACACGAAATTGAAAAATCGGAACCCATATTTGGCAATATTGGAATTGGTAACATCCTGGCCATTTCCTAGCCGATTCGCAAACGGAATTCCAATATAAAATCCAGAACTAATATCCTCCGACCCTTCATTATCCCCAGGATACTTTTAGGTCCTTCAAAAACCTAAACGGATTTTAAAAAGAAAAGTATTTTTGTAATCAGGACATCAATATCCTTCGATCTGCATTAAAAAAAAAGTTTTTTAAAAAAATTCCAAAATATACACCATTTAGGTTAAAATTATACTTTTTCTTTATTGAATGATCTCATTATTAGTTTAATTATAATTTTATTAATTATTTTCGACATTCGTGTGTACCTAGAGTCCAGTTTAATGCTAAATACCGGACATTAATTCCGATTTCAGAATTTGGGAGTGGTTTTTTATGCCAGTTTGGAATATTTAAATCATAAAGCGTACTACTTTGTACCCTCAACCACTTGGGACATGAGCCGTGTGGGCCTAAAAGTCAAAGACTGATCTAACGGTTACAGATACACTCATACACATCCAATATCCATATATATATATATATATATTCTTATGCCATAAAGTCCATTTTGATAATCTCTGGCGATGTTATGCGGCATTTTGAAGACTTAGTCCCTAAATTCTAGTATTATCCGATCCAAGAATTGGGCATTCCTATGGACCCCTGGCATTGGGCCAACTGTTGTTGTTGCTGTTGTTTTTATTGGAGGGGTTACGGGGGTCATGCCCTTAAGGCTCCCTAAACTACTAAGAGCACGGCTACCGAAGACTCGCCATCACACCAGCCATGGAAAGGTTAATAGGGGTCTGCTTTCTTTAGATTCGATTTCCTTAAAAAAAAAAACTGAATCCTTTTACATCCTTGATTCTACTTTTTTGTGGCTGTGTTGGAGAGTCCTTTCGATCACCGTGGCTCTGTACACCAAAAAAAAACATCTAACAGACCTCACCTTACATTCATGCGTTATTTTGCTGTTTTTTCTCTTTTTTTTTTACTCTTAGACCACTGGCTTAATGCTTAAATGCTTACATACGATGGAGTACCTGTGTCTGGGCTTATCCGGACATTAAAGGGGCGTGGCAGGAGCAGAACGGGATGGAGGTTCAGGATTCAAGAGCATGGACTTAGTGATTCTTTAGATATGATATGATATGAGAGGGGGAAAAAGGGCCGCTGCCTCAGCCGTACACCATTTCTTAAAAAAAAAACGTATATATTTATCGGCGATCGCTGGGATCCCTGATGGATCCTTGACGTCTCCTCTCCATTAGACGAAGATGAACTGCGCATGGTTGCACTTCTTGGGCGGTCCGACGGTCAGACGTAGCCACTTGCCCCGGCACGAGGGCGCCGGCAACGCGGTCCAGCGCGTCGTACGCCCGGCCAGCCCCTCGCCCCGACAATGGTAGCTGGGCGCCGGCGTGGGCGTAACCGTTGACGGGGGCGTGACCGGTATGGGATTGCGCGGCTTGCGGGGATTCCGCCGCTCCTGACGCTGATGTCGGTACTCGAAACTCTCATTACTTCCCGTGTCCAGAGTATTCTGCAGGTCATCTTGCTCCTCCGGCTCATTGTCCTGCTCCTCGTCGTCCTCCTCCTTGTTGTTGCTGTCGTCACTGCTGCCGCTGCTGCTGCTGCTCTCCTCCCCATCCTCGACGGGCTCACTGGGCAAGGGGGCGTGGCTGGGGGCAGGCGGTTTGGCGGTGGTGGAGCTGGCAATCGAGTCCTGAATAAAAGCCTCCAGGTCGCAACGAACCGTAATGCGATCACCTGCGGATGAATTGCAATAAAAAATATTACATTTTTATTAAAAAATATTTAAGTAATGGGGATACAACAAAATAAATAATAAAATTCCAAAAGAAAAACGGCTTAATTGCAAATTCCTACAAAAAGTAAATATGTGAAAAAGAGGTATTTAACAAAAATGGTTTAAAATGGTGGGTTTATTACAAAAAAGTGGTTTAAAAGATAAATTTTTTTTATTAAAAAATATGTATATTTACATATAATAATTTACAGAACTAAAATCCACCATATTTATTAAATAATTCGTTGATAAAGGATTTTAAAATGAACCAGAAAGGATAGCTATCGTCGATAACAAATTTGTTTGCCTACTTTTTGGCTTTTACCTTGCAAAGTTATATTTTAAAACAAAAAATAGTAAAATATCCTGTTTTTTTTTTTTTACAAAATTAACATAAATCTCTTAAATAAAAAACCAGAAAAACTCACCTTCCAACATGAGATTATATGGCGGCAATTTATGACAGGCCTTGGAAGACTTTATGACTTCAAATTCCACACAGTATCTGAAAAGAGAGAAACAAAAGAAATAATTTAAATTAGATTTGGAAAACTTTTTAAAGTCCTGTTTGGGAGGACCAGTAAAGGATTTATGAAATTGAAAATCAGTGCTAGCATATCTTGCTTTATGAATTAACCATCCGCATCAATTCATAATTTCCATTTTCTGTTCGGCAGATTCAATCGTTTGTGCGCCCATTCATCCTTTCGGGTCGCTCCTTTGATTATGCATGTCCTTGGGGCGACGCCTCATTAGAGGACTTTGGCCCTGGCCCTGGCCCTGGCCAGGACAGGACAGGACACAGCCAGATGGTCTGGTCATTCACTTGTTAAATATTGTAATTATTGTGATTCTGTGCTCCACCAAAGACTTCATGGCTGGTTGAGACAGGGCAACTTGATTTGTGCAATTGTGCGCACTGAAAGGACTAGTAGGAGAGTGGATGGGTGGAAGTGGGTGGTGAGAGTGGGCAATGGGACTTCAAAGGACCCAAGAAAATTCTCCAATTCTCTATTAAGCCTAACAATTTCCGTTTCCGCTAAGCAACAAAAAAAAAAAAAAACATGGCATGAGGAAAGTAAGAGAAAAAAAAAATACAAATCGAACTGACAAGTGGCAGAGTCTGTCTGAGTGTGAGTGTGTGTGTTTGGGTGTGTGTGTGCGTGTCTGTGTATGTGTCTGACAGCTGTCAAGGTGTTGACAACGGAAATTGCGTCGGAAATTTCAAAAGTGCCTGACATTTTGGGGGCATTTTTGATTTTAACCCCAAATCCCGAAGCCGGAAACCCAAGCCACTTAACCAACAAATCTGAAAAGATGAAGGATATACATCTACATATACATCTATATACCATATAGATGGCTGATCCATTGATGGTGCCAAATTAGCTGTATGAAAAGGAAATGAAATTGAAAAACGCAAAGAGCAATCGTAGGGGAAACCGAATTATTATTAAAAAAGGGGCGAGTTTTTCCAAATACACACCCAAAAAAAAAAAAAGTAAACCAGCTGACAGCCTAATTAAGTCCTGGCAAACCGAAAAAGGACCCTCTGCGCCAAGGCAATAAAGGTAAATTGAAAAAATTAATGTAAATAAACAGGCGCCGCCGCCGCCACCGTTCACCGCCAAGTAATAAAAATAAACAAGGCCATGCACAAAACTCGAGGACCAAAAACATAATTAAAGACAAGCAATGGTCGGTCGGTCGGTCGGTCGGTCGTCCTGGCAGGTCCTTGAAGGCAAAGTCTCAGTCTGGACCGCCGCCCACCATCTCGGCTGGCCATCATAAAATAAAAAGCAATTGTTATGCTTGGCTTGCGGTGTATGAAGGAATATAGGCAGCTTATATTACTTTTTTTTTACTTTTTTCAACAAAAAAATCCTTGAAATCCTTGCTGGCTGGGATGGTTAATGATTAACGGCTCAAAGATGAAAAAAATATATAACCAGAATATTTAATTTATTAACTGATTATTAAAGCCCAGTTCATTTCAAATAAATAATTCAATTACAAGTCATATATCAAAACGAATACTTAATAGACACTTGAAAAAATGTATCCTTTTGAGCGTAAATCCAACTATTACTGTCACATCAACAGTTTAGCATCGTTTTTCACTCTTTCGCCGCCAGTCGAGTGGCATTAAAAATTCACAATTACATTAAGCATTTTATTTACAAGCGAACGGGGGGCTTGTGTTTTTATGCGCCAGCCCGGGCTGATGATTTAATTCATTATTATGGGTCCTGGGTGGGGTCTTGAGATGCATTAATTATGAGAGTACAGGTTGAAGAAGTAAGGAAGGCAGTAATGCTGAAGTTTCTCGACTATATGATACCCAGTACATACCACTCTTTAGCTCGCAATCTCCTTAGGATTTATAATATTTATAACCCTAATATACCCTTGAACTCTCTTAGTACCAGGTATTCAAAACTTTTCTTAGCTTTCTAAAGTTTAATACAGAAAAGGTCAAAGTTCTTTGAGTAAAATGCTTTAAAAGTTAAGTAAGATTTTGCTTAGCTGAAACTCTGCTTTAATGTTTCTTTTTAATTAATTTATTTCCCTAAAAAAAAGGTAGAATCCTAATTGGCTTGTATCGAATTTCAGGCTCTCCATTAAACCAACTCCTGACCACAATGGCTTATTTTTGGCTGGCCAACAAATTGTGGCCAAAAACACGACAAGGTCTCGGAAAAGTCATTTTCTTGTCAAATATTTTGCCACTTCAAAGGCCAACAACTGTCAACAGCAATAGAAGTAGAAGAAGGAAAACAAAAAAACAACCAGTATCAGCATACAGGCACTTAAAAAAGTATTTGCACTCGTTTATATGAAAGTCAAACAAAAGCAAAGCCAAAAGATGAAGTAAGCGCCGTTCCAGCTGCGCTAAAAATAATTGCTCGACAAAGTTGCCTCACAGCTGGGTGGCCGCCACCGCCATCGACTTCCGCTGCCCTTTCGACCCTTACTGTTGGCCATGTTTGACCCGACCCCCTGCTGCCACGGGCCCAGCTTGTGTGACCACCAATCGCCAGGCCCTCACCCCGCTTAGTGTATTCCATTTGCCTACCGGAAACCAAAACGACGGTGACGACAACGGCCAGGCGACATTGCAATTTGGTTTTGGATCAGTACACCGAAAAAAAAACGGGGGGGTGTATTTAATTTTAAGCAAAGAGACCTGTTAACAGGGCGTATGAGTAATAGTAAGTCCCTTCAGGGCGTACAACAGTGCGTATGCTTAATAAAATTACTCATACGCACTGTTGTCAAAGGATTTTTTATTTTTTTTTTTTAGTGTACTTTCCAGGGGAATTCTATGTCTTGGACTTGGCTTTGGTCTTGGAATTACTCACGGACCAGGTCCTTGGTCCTGGCCAGAAAGGAAGCACTTTGCGGCGCTTGAGTGAGTCGCCTCCAAAGGGAAATGTTAAAGGGACGACCACGACCACAACGATGGACGCTATTCGTTGTTTTTGTTGTGGTTACTTGTTGTCAACCTTATCCATCACCCATTCAACTCCCTCCATCCCCCGTCCTCCATCCATATCCCCCATTCCATCTCCTTTCGTCGCCAAAATCCCTGCTTTCTTGCTTTTTAATGATGATTGAGCGGCGAAGGCAGCTCCGGCAGCTCCACAGACCTTGTTGCATACTTGGTCAATGCAAAAGCGGATTTGGCCAGAGGTCCTGCAGACTCTGTCTTGGAGGGCTATAATGGTTGGCTCTAAAGGCCAGCTGGACGGGGTGGCTGGTGGTGGACGGTCGGTTGGGTGGGTGGCGCTTCTCTGGCGGGATTACTGTGACAGTTTCGCTTCGTTGGACACCGCGCGGCGAAGCTTTGTGCAAATAAAACCGTCGGCATGTAGATTAGACCTTCGCTCTCTTTCTATTATCTAGCCCTGTCTCTTTCCGATTCTCCAGCACTTTATGCTCCTTGTTATCCCACTCACTCTATCCATTTCGCAGAAATAATTGATATGAACAGTGTTCTTTGGGGAAGAGCCGAGGAGGAAAGCGAGGAAAGGCCAGAGGTGATTATATTTTCCACGGCCATTCGTTATACGATTAAAAATAGAAAATATTCAAAAGGGAAGAGAGGGGAAGAGGGAAAAGGAGCAATAGATGGAAAGATAAAAGCCAAAAAGAGAAATGGTTAAATATGGTGAAAGTGATTATGATGGCTAAAAAAATGCAATGACTAGGATACAAAAATAAACCAAGTGCATTGAAGAAAACGCCAGAAGCTCAATTATGAATAGAAGGATTCCATAAAAAATAGGACATAATACAAGGACATAATGCAAGGATTATAAAGACTAAAGCTAAATCATATAATTCTTGTTTTTCTGCCTCATTTGAATGGCTGAAATTATTTTGGAAAACATTTATTCACTCAAAGGCATCTCGCTCGAAGTTGGCCAAAGTGCAGTGTGTCCTTGCCAGGACGAAGCTCGGCTCAATGGGGCATTTTATTTTTTTTTGCCATTTAACCATTTCATTCGGCCTCTTTTTTTTTTTTTAGATGCTTAGCCTTGTCCTGGAATCTTCAGCTAACTCCAGCCCCCAGCCCCCAGCCCCCAGCTGCCCGCCCGCCATTAAGTGCATAATTCAATTTGTAAAGCCGCCAAAGCAGAGTAGAGCCTCTAAGGTAAAGGGGACGACTCTCATTCAAGAAGGATAAGGCCCGGAGGGGTGGTGAGCTGGCAGATACTTTGAGTGCCTAAAAGTATGCAAAGCAGCCGCAGACGGACAAACGTTGAAATCCAGAAATCCGACAGCGGAGCAGAGTCGAAAAGAAAAGCTTGCCTGCATAGATCAAGGGCCATAAAAGGTTGGCCAAGGAGTAGGGGTGGGGCAGCCAGCCAGCTAAAGGCTCAAGGATAGAAATGGGGGGGGCCCCCATGTATAATGAAAATAAAGTAGCAGCTTTAACGCATTTTTATGGCTCTTATTCCACTGTCAACTGTATGCAACCGTGAGGTAAACAAAAACAGAGTACGCGATAAATGCGAATGTATTTTCCTTTATTTTTGTTTTTTTTTTACCTTTTCCAAGGAGCAAAATGGAGCCAGGACCCAGGTACCTGGACCCAGAACTCAGGAAGCACCTGCTATGCAAATGAGATGGGGTTGGGGTGGAGTTTCCACCAACGAAATCGTAAAATCTGTCAATTCGCAGACCCATTGTCTTCAATTTCTAGAGGCTAGCAATCAAGAAAGAACTCAGGGCCGGATTTCGGTTAAAAAAATACTTGGAAGTATACTAATATTGGAAGTTGTTTAAACGCTAGAATCCTTGAAATATTGAAAAAAGCCATGAAACTTCGACGGCGAAAGGATCCCTGATTCCTAAATGGCATCCTCAGCCAAAAACTGAGGAAAAACCGAATTCGCACTTTTCCTAGGGGTACCCCTAGGATTTTTAGCAAAAATCGGGGCAAAATTTTTTTTGGAGGATTTTAGGAATCCTGGGATGCAGATCGACGGCGAAAGGATC